CAGGAAAAAAAAAGTAAGGAAAAAAAGAAGGAAAACAAATGAAGAGAACAGATATCGGCGAAAAACATAACCAATTTGCTAGAAATACCTAAAAATTTACCCCCTCCACCGTCAGTTGTTTATTTTTTTTCCTTTGCCCATGCGCCTACCGCCACCCTCGGAAATATCTTTAGATGGCAGGTTAATTTTCCTGCCTTTGTAGGGATCATGGAATACAGAGGCACACGCTCCCTCTCCCCCGTGTGGATGTCTGCCATCCCCTCTGTCTCAATTTGAAATAATAATTTGCTTTCAAAGCTGTTTTGAAAATTAAAAAAAAAATGTGCTTAAGTCTCCCATTGAATAAGGCTTTCAGAAAAAAATTCGTCCGAACAAAATTGAGATTTTTCACTGAGACCAGCATTCAACAGGAGGTACAGTGGCAGAATTTCAATGTCAAAGTCCGAAGAGTCCCATGTATCAACATCACAAGATATGCGCAAATTAACAAATTACCAAGTCATTGGGAAAAGATATTTTTGGGGCGGGGGATAGCATTTTTCATTCTTTAATTTTTGATCGATTGTCATATTGACGCTGAATGGCCATTTATCTTTGTAATTTGGTTTTGTTCAAAATCATCGTAATCAAAAGAAAAAAATTCTTTTGTTCAGTGTAAAAAGGTTAAATTTTCTGAATAGGCCAGTAATAATTGACACAAAAAGTTCCAAACACAGACACTTTTGTTAATAACCAAATTTCCACTCAAAACTTTTCATATTGTGGTCAGGAACCCCCCCAAAAAAATTCAACCAATTTTCTCACTGGGGAAATAAGATTTTGAAGCGTTTAAAACCCCTCATTTTCTCACCCAAATGCCCCATGGTCCAACTAATCATGCCCAAATTGGAACAGTGCTTAACCAATGGAGCTCCCTGACACTAGTTGGGCGGATTCTAAGTTGGATGTATAGACCACACATACAACATGTCAGCTTCCTTGAGCATGTGGGACAAATGTCAGGAGTAAGTTCCTGTAAAAGTACGAGTATTTACGGCTTGATTTTTCTATCACCAAGATATTACTTACCAACCACACAGAGTCCTTCATACCATGTCAACTCAACTTTTTTGTTTGAGTATTTTTGAAGGTTTTTTGAGTTAGATGTGTTGGATTTTGCACATGGTGTGTAATGTTGTGCACGCACGAGTTCCAGTTGAAACTTGCATAAGGCATACTGAGATTTTAACTGATTTTGTGTGAAATTTTTCACAGCATTGTGGACTGTGGTTCCAGTCAGCAAACAGAGGCATCTGTTCCTTGGCATCTTTCGGGTTAGTTTAAAGTTCTATGGTTGTGTGCTGATCTGACAGCGATACAGAGAGGCATCGGTTTGGGCATTGCTTCTGATTGCTTTAGGGAACATAGGCCTGTATAATATAGCCTATGTGAATAACATGGCTACTCCAATGAATACTTATATAATCTGTATGAAAACAGAGAGTCGCTGCAGTGGTAGATTGTTGGGACGGAAGGGAAAGGCTACTCTGACAGAAAGAAATTCAAAAATGACTTGCATTAAAAAAATCTCTCTCCTTGATCAGACATTTGTTCATGACGTGTATTACACAAATTGTACGTCAGCAAAAAAAAAGTTGAAAAAGCAGAGAAATTTCATGGTTCACAGAGAGACACAGATTCTCCCACATCTGCACTGAGATCAGAAAAGACCCATTTTGACTATCCGACTCACTTTTAATATGTGCCGAATTGCTGGACTTTGATGCTACTTCTCGTCATCCTAAAGTATGGAATTCCATATCTGCCGTCGTGCGTCGCCCGTCGTGCGTCGTCCGTCGTGCGTCGCCCGTCGTGCGTCGTGCGTCGTCCGTGTTTTTTTGTCACGATTGCGCAGTGGTATTTTTTACTTTGACTCTTGATCGTTTCACATGTACATGTCCTTGTTCGATCGATCCACCATGCCTGACTCTCATTTTAGCAATAGAACTAGAAGATGTACAAGTATTCGTTTTTGCAGTTGCGCCAAACTCCATTCGAAAGAAGAAAGAAAGAACGTGTATATGAAATAAACCATTTTGGTTACATAAATAAATTAACAAAATAGACTTTTGTTAGGGTAGATTGTTTTTCTCGATAACTTAGTTGCTCTAGACG